ATGGAATGCCTCGTTTCCAGTAATAATGGTCTCCGGTTCTCTACACTCACCATACGAAACACAGCAGCATTATGCTACTATTTTACGCTGGTATTCTGTGAGAGCGTGGTCCTTCGCCGGTCGAGCCGACCCATTTGTGCTACAACTATACTACTAATATAACGGCAGCATGGCTCTACCGCGTGGAAAAACTACGTAATTCTAATTCTTAATTAAGGATACATCTAAATGTCTATGGGCCCCAACATCTACTTACCATCAGGTGGACTAAGCTGTGTGCTCGTTTGTCACCCTTAATTCTATAATAAACAGAATGATGAATTTTTCTTGCGTTTTAAACAGCTTCAATCTGTAACAAACTATAAAAAGCCGGTAAAGTAGCAGCGATGATGATTAGTAATTGGATTGAACTCGACACCGGTCTTTTTATATCTACCAATTATTTTATATTATATTTAATCAGCGAGAAATTCAATCGAAACAGCATCGTGTGTTGATTATACAGCAAGGGGTTAAGTGAGGTCTTAGAAGACGTGCAAAGGCGAGAGATGAGAGCTAAGATAAAACAAAAATAATCTATTCTTCTTCATCTGTATTACTGAACGTACGATAACATACTCTTAATAAAAATAAAACTACTGCATAATGGAAAACATGTCAATAAACTATACCAGCATAGGCGCTCTAATATCTGAGCGCCTTTTAGGGAAGGAAGGCAATGAATTAAAAAATAGAACTAAATTTAATAATTAAAAAGATTTTTTTTAAATATTTTAGTTAAAGAAAAATCTAAATAAGAAATTACCTGCTCAGCGTAACGGTCAAGATAAATTCTGTCAAAAAGACGTCAAGATATATACTAGTAGGATTTTCTCCTGTATCGTGGTAACATTTTACATACATACTCGTAAATTTTACCGATGACAAATATCCAGAACCGGAATAATTATTTGCAAACCATATAAACACTTGCTCCGTGCGGGATTTGTACGCGCGGCCTTCAGCGTTGCCAAGTAGCTACCGAGCCGTCAAGTTTATGAATAGCCTTCATCATCAACTTACCATCAGGTAGGCTTGTGAATGAACGTTGGTCTCATTGATTAATATACATTGCTAACGCACTACATGAAAGAAAAATTAAGTGGCAGGAATCCCAATCGGTATATAATACATAGAATACTCTACACATAAAACCACTTCTTTCCTTCATCAATGATTTGCCTTGTTGTAATTGTCATGCCTTTTTATAGACTAAGGGTGACAAACGAGCACACAGTCAACCTGATGGTAAATGGATCATGTGGCCCGTAGACATCCACATTTATCCTCGATTAAGAATCAGATGCATTGTCACCCTGAGGACTAAGATAGAACGCCTCATTTCCAGTAAAAAGGGTCTCCGGTTCTCTCATTCACCACACGAGCACAGCAGCGTTAATCTGTTTTATCACACTGGTATTCTGTGAGAGCGGAGTCCTATGCCGGTTGAGCCTATAACTATAATATAGCTGCAGCATGGCTCTACCAATTATATGGTAGACAGATTGATTATCGCACCAGACGTCTTACACCTTTGACCTTGTGTAATCAAGATGGTCATATATAAATGCAACTAGTTTTTATGGATTTTATGATGAAATCCGTAAAAAACAATCTCATTAAAAATTATTGTGTTAGAGATGGTCATATTATACAGTCGCCGCAATCACACTACAGAGGCCACTACTATGAGGACAAATATAAAAATTTTGTTCTATTTATAGAGATATTTCACAGTAATAGTCAGTTATCCGTACAATAAGGCCAACCCCCATGTCTGTTACAGGCAAAACAAATAAGTGTAATTAATATTTTGCTATAGATAGCTTATAAATAGAATTTGCAATTTAAGAAGGCGTGTCAGACAAAATTTCCGTATTTAGTCCTAAGTATCATCGCAAAATACAGGAAAAATCACGCAACCTTTACGTGGCGGAGCCACACTGCAGCCATACTATAGTTGTAGCTCATTGTAGCTTGTAGCTTATTGGCTCGACCGGGGCAGGACCACGCTCTCAAAAAATATATGTTCTTATAAATACTACAATAACTATGACTCTTCCATTATAAAGAATATCAGGTACATAAATGGCAAGTTCTTGAGCACTGTAACATAACAAACTGGACTTAGCTAAGAGGATGTCAAGGTTTGGCACATAAGTACTTAGAGGAAACTTCACATAATATATTATCACAAGTTTACAAAGTTATAAGAGATTTGAATATTTATTTTCTAAACATGTCATTTGGTATTACTATAAACTTTTTAATTTATGAAATTCTTACCTACTTGTATAGTGTAATTACTTTTTAGTTATTTATTCATATTTTTATTAAATTTCAATTTTTTTAATAAATTATATTGTGTAGGTGAATATGGGCTAGCGCATCCACTTAAAGTTGAAATGTTACAGCCAATACATTAAAGGAAGGAAATGTCCACCACATTGCCCCCATTGCATATTGACGAACTACACCTATTCAAAAATATTTTTTCTTATTTCTCAAACATGCAGGTTTCCTCACGATGTTTTTGCTTCAACGCCGAGCAGGAGGTAAATCAGCACTTAATATTGCAATTAACAATTTCATTGGTGCTGGTGGGGATCAAACCCAGGTTGCTAGCATTTTGTGAAACATCACTTAATCTGTGGCCATACTTGAATAAACATTAAAGAAACTAAATTTAAACTAATTTAAAAAGGTAAAGTTGTTTAATATATAAGTTTGCGTGTAGAAAGTAATCTCTGGCACTGCCAATACAATTCTGAAAATTTGTTCACTAATCCAAAGCCGCACTATCCCCAAGTGACCATGTTTTTATTGTGAATAAGTTTATAGTGCGAAAAAAATTGTAACAATGTAAAATGAGCTGACTAGCTGCTTTATTGGTGTAGCAGACCAAAAGGCTTGAAATATGTGTACATAGAAAACTTTTGTTTAATTAAATATATAAAAAGAAACAGTTTTTCAGTAGTATCATATCATAGTATTTAGTAACATATCATATGTATTTATTTTTGCTATATCTTTTCACACATAATATTTTTCGTATAAATTATTAAAACGTCTGCATATACTTAAATTTCATGAATCTGAATTTCACTAAGCCATATGGATCAGAAAATCTTTTATATAATTGCTACATTTAAATTATAAAAACTGACACAGCAGTAATAAGGCTTTTCAACAAATGTAACCATATACAATTGGATGAAATGTGATAATGTAACATGTGACCACACTAATAACTTCAAAGCTATCTGATAACATTACCACATAGGTAAAATAAAAGTTAATTTAATTTTGATGTGTTAATAATTAGAAGGCCCATTATGATTCAAGTATTCTTATTTTTCAACCGACTTTAAAACAAGGAGGAGGTACTCAATTTGACTAATTTTTTTGTGTGTTACCTCAGAACTTTTTCTAGGTGAACTGATTTTGATGATTCTTTTTTTATTTGAATGCTGCTGCTTCTCATGTGGTCCCATATAAATTTGATCAAGATCTGACCAGTAGTTTTTAAGTTATTCTTAATAATGTGTATTAAATTGACTTTGACTACATTGAAGATATGCTCATTTTATTTATATTGATGTCAGTTGTACAAAATTTTTAAATTTACCCCATGTTTTAAACACAATTTGTAACATTTTACTCGATTCTACGATAAAGTAAAATTAGAAAAGAACAGATTCTAGAAGTCATGAAAGGTAGAAAGAGTAAGTCTTTATCCACAAAGCTAAGAATGGGCACAGGGTAACAGCACACCATGCAAATATTGTGTGAGGGACACTGAATACTTAGTGGACAACTCCACAAAAGAAAAAAATTCAACACTGTCTAAAAGTAATTCAACAGGTAGGGTCTGTGTCCCGTGGAATAAAATTTCAGCTATGTTGATGTAATTATTATTGAGTTATTAAAGACTTTTGAATGGTATCTCTATCAACCAATATTTTGTTTAAATCTGCTAAACTTGCAAACACTTGTCAGAAATACAGTACTCCGTGCAAAGAGATGAAACATTACCCCGCAAGAAGTAGTTTAGTTTAAAGTACTAATGAATAAAAAATCAAACATACAAATGATTTTACTATTAGTTGGCAGTTGAAAATGTAGTTGGAGACATGGGCTGGATGCCAGAATAGGTCAACAGCCTACATTATTGTTAACTTAGTATGCTGGTGGTAAATATTATTTCCTAAAAAGATTTAGCAAATAAGTTTGATTGTTAGCGATTGAAACATGTTTCTTGTTTTTTTTTTTTTTAATTTTAATATCATTTAAAAATTTTGCATTTATGTGTGTAATGTTTGTTTTTGTAACTATGTTTTTTTGTTGGTAAAAACGGTAAGTAATCTACTCGTAACTTTTGCAATAAATATAGAGATATATAAACTAATAGATTTTAAAAGACGTGCCATGTGTCTCTCATTTCACAGTTTGCCGTTGCTACTGAATAAGTTATTTATAAATATTATATACTTTCCTAAACTTTTACATGTGTTACATATATGATATAGCTCATGCAATAGTTCTACAAATAGCGTACGAGAACGAGCTATTGTCAAATATTAATAAAATCAGCCTCCCCATGCCCCTACTATCCAAATTTATCTTGACTGCCACTACGACCTAAAAATAGTATCCGGCAATACCCTGGAAATGATAAGAGGCGGTCGCTCGCGATAAACCACGTAGCAGACACTAGACTCAGCTGAGTTTTAAGTAAACAAGATGTACTAAATCGTTAAATAACAATCGCTCCACAGGTTACGAGCAACAGGTGTAATGGAATAAATATGATATGGTCGCGCCAGCGAGATTCTCACATGAGAATAGCCAGGGGCAACGCATTCCTCGCAAACAACTTTCACAGCACATTAGCAGCGATGGTTTTTAACATCAACACCACAAAACGTAACACAATAAAGAAGTAACAAAACCATAAATACCTTCTCTTTTGCCCGCCCTGCATGTTTTTGCACTGATTTCGCAATTAACGCACCTTTACTTTCTGCCATTTCTATCACTTTTGCATTACCGACAATCTACAATTTCGTACACATCAATCTGCAACAAATGCAGTTTACTGACACACGTCAAATTCAAAATCCAATCCAAATGCCGTAAATTGCACTGATGTGACGTGAGCTCCCACTCTTGTAGCCGGATACGAATTGAGCAGAAATCTAGATCGAAATATCAAATAGTAACGCCAGATGGCGCTGACATACCAAGTAGTTTTAGCATTATCTACTAGATGTCACTGTAATTAATAATTAAATGTAATGTATGATAGCCGTAGAAAGTAGCAGTATGACAGGTACCATGGAGGTTAAAGAACAGGAGAACCATGAAGGTTCGAGAACAGGAGAACGATCGCCGTAGAAAATAGTGTCCCAGAAATATGAACACCATAAGTTAGGCACTGCGATCGCTAAGTTCGGTCAATAAAAGTCATTTTCAGTCTATTTTTCCGATCAGATGCTAAACCACTTGCACATCCATGCACAATAAAATATTTCTCCATTTTTTCATGTTTCCTTTTGTCAAAAATTACAAAATTACGGAGCATGAAAATTTTCTCACCAATGCCGCGGAGAAAAATTGTATATTATTCAACTAACTTCATCTACTTGTACTCATAAACAGCTAACTTCGCAGTCACTACTCACCGACGTCAGTGCCGCTATAAATTCTACAATTTTCAAGGACAGGCGGGCTATGCTTTAGTACGTAGTGATCGTACTCCTCATGAAGGTTAGAGAACAAGAGAACGATCACTACGTACTAAAGCATAGCTCGCCTGTCCTTGAAAATTGTAGAATTTATAGCAGCGCTGACATCGGTGAGTAGTGACTGCGAATGGCGGTTCCACATTATTTCCGTGAATTCACGGCCCAAGTCGTGCCCTCCACATTTACAGGATGCTCACAATCGAAACAGTCGTAGAAGCTACTGCTGAAATAACTTTATTTATTTATGTATTATATTTTTATTATAAATTTTCTACGTGGTAGAGCCATGCTGCAGTTATATTATTACTATAGTTGTAGCACGAATGGGTCGGCTCGACCGGGGAAGGACCACGCTCTCACAGAATACAACGTAAAATAGTAGCTTAATGCTGCTGGTTGTATGGTGAGGTAGGAAGGGATGGTTTTGTAGGGGCTGCATTTTTTGTAATTGAGGATAGATGTAGATGTCTACGGGCCTACGCGACGCGACGGGCAGTGACTATGAAGTTAGCTGTGTATGAGTACAAGCAGGTGAAGTTAGTTGAATATTGTAAAAATTTTCTCCCCGGCATTGGTGAGAAAATTTTCATGCTCCGTAATTTTGTAATTTTTGACAAAAAGAAACACAAAAAAAATTGAGAAATATTTTATTGTGCGTGGATGTGCAAGTGGTTGAGCATCTGATCGGAAAAATAGACGGAAAATGACTTTTATTGACTGCACTTAGTGATCGCAGCGCCTCACTGATAGTGTCTATATTTCTGGAACGCTATTTTCTACGGCGACCGTTCTCCTGTTCTCTAACCTTCATGTTTACTACACTCTTTGACAGGACAGTTCTACTCGTAAACAGAGAATGCTAGGTAGTCTTTGGCAACAACCCCTTTGCTTGTTTTTGGGTATGTTCCGAAATACAACGCAGTGTATATACTGTCCAATGCAAATGACGTCATCATTTGACACTTTATTGTACTAGCGTGCCGCTGCCATATTGTGTCGGATATCCGGCCATAATAAAACAAATTTTAATTGTGTGTTTGCCGAATGAAGCATGCCAGAATTTGTTTCTATTTATTCAAATACAAAAAATGATAGAATAATTGATAGTATATCTATTAGGAGGATATAATGATTTTTGGAGCACAAAATGACAAAATAATCGCCATCACTTTTCCAAATGCCGCAAAAGTATGACGTCATATACTGTCCAATGTTTTGGAACGAATCACCAGTATAGCGTCGATTCATGACGTCATTTGCATTGGACAGTACACTGCGTTTTATTTCGGAACATACCCTTTATTGTATAGACGTTTGACGTTTTATTGTCATTTATCAATATTTGTAAACAAAAATTTCAAATTTCGATCTTTACATACCGTGTAATTGTTTTATTTTCTTTGTTTTTATTCTTGCTATCCTTGTATTTATTGAGAAAATATTGGAAACGAAATGGTATTATTTATTTTACTTACTTTCATTTCATTATTTTACGTTTAAAAACAATAACGAGGCACAATTAGGTCAATAGTCATGTGATGTCCTCGAATACTCGAATAGTGCTCTGTGGTGGTGGCGGAGTGTTTATCACAGCCACGGGCAATTAATTCATTTATTTATGTTCATTCGATTAAAATTATATTAGCCAATTTAATTGGATATCAATGGCGTGGTGCAGCAGTCTGTGTAATATTATTTTCTTTCATTTTTATATGTTCTGTTAGGAACCAAAGACTGAATTGCAAAAAAATGCGATCGCAGAAGCGAGGCGGAAAGAATTGGAGACATATCAGCGAGCACTAGATATCCAGTGGCTGAACAGTCGCATGGATGATAGTTGTATAGGCAGACACCTTGCCCGCATTAAACAAGAGGCTGAATTGGAAAAAGATTTTCAAGAGGTAAAGTTCCACATGTAATTGTATGTGTTTTTATGCCTGGAATATCTGCGATTATACAGTTATAATTCTAGAATCATATTTTAATATCTTAGTTTAATATATTTCTTAATACTCCAAGATTAGTCAAACAGATTAGTAACGGTTTTCATAGCTCAACGTCTTTGAGTATTCAACCAACTGGAGAGGCCATGTGCATTAATTCCTAAACAAAAATTCTGTCAACATCAGGGGGGCGCAAGATAAACACACAACTGTATACTTAACTACAAATGCAAAATTAAATTGTGTCACTATAAACGCACACTACAACATTTGTGTTTGTGTTCATCGCGTTTACACATACCATCAAATCGTACACATGTCGATACACTGATAGCGTTGGCTGAAAGCGTAAGCAACTTAAGGGTTTATTTTACATTATGCAGGATAAAATTTAAAATATTTAACAAATCAAAATAGGAGATTTAGTTAACTTATTTTAAAAATCAGATTTATGAAAAGAAAAATCCTATCAGTTTATCATCTTAGATGGTGTTAACCAAGTTTTTGTTTTTATTATAAGGTTTCAATCACAAAACCGCTATTTATAAAAAGTTGTTGATTTTGAAGAGTTATTAAATGAACTATCTGGAAAATATTTAACAAATTAGGAAAATTTGTTTGAAAAAAGTTTTACATTGTATAACAGTTGAACAAAGTGAACTTTAAACAGACAGTTGCTTAAAAATAAAATGTGACATCTACCTAGGGCTAAGTATTCCCCAGAAAGTTGTTGTACAATTGGTGGCCAACGACTTGGCTACACAAAAAAGCGTTAACTGTTTTAAAACTTAGACTAGAGAGTAACCCTGACAAGAAATTGTATTGTATATTAGTGATAGATGAAATGAAAATAAAACAATTGATGGAGTACTATGCCAGTTCTAAAAGACATTTTGGTTATATATATAATGCCTTTGGCTGCTAGCATGGTATTCCGTCAATTGCCTAATTTTCATTTCATCCATGACCGAGATAAAATAAATTTTTTATCAGGATTACTCTCCGCTCTCAATTTTAATGCCGTCAGCGCTTATTGAGTAAACCCTGGTCGACGATTGATGGTAGTGTATCACTTAGTCAATGTCCGTGGTGCAGGCAAACATGTTCCAAAAGTTTTACGTACATAGTGATAGGCTTTTGGTGAGTAATAGTTAAGTGTTAGAGCAAAGTATTTCTTGCAAACTTGTGAAGCCTGTTAATGCTATTGTTTTTTATGTCAAGGCATTTTTTCAGTTTAATTTTCCTTGGCCTAAGTGTTGGCTCATACTCCCAGTGAGAGTAGGACTAGTTTAGTCTATATAAAGATTTTTTTTCGAATTGTGACTTTCGAGACAACTATGGAATTTTTCCGGTACATCCAGCTCTCTTTTTTCGATGTTGCTGATGTTGTGCAGTCACCACAATCACTCTAAAATAAATAATTACTAATTAGTAAGTGAGATATATATATATATATATATATATATATAAGGATGAAGCCGGTATTAAATAAGAATGAAGGAGAGTTAATTCAGCAAGTGGATGAGTTTGTGTATTTGGGATGTGTATTTAGCAGGAATGTATGTAATATGATAGGGATATAGAACGATGAGTAAATGCAGGGAATAGAGTGAATGGGGCACTACACTCTCTTATGAAGAACCAGAATGTGTCAAAAAAGGCATGTATGGTAATTCATAATGCTGTGTTAGTCCCCACTTTAATGTATGGTAGTGAAAGCTGGGTGTGGCAGAAGAGGCACGAAAGTAGAATAAATGCTGTAGAAATGCGGTCTTTAAGGAGTATGCTAGGGTTGAATCTGAATGACAGGGTGAGAAATTGCATGATAAGAGATAAATGTGGTATGCAAGATGATGTTATGACTAGGATTAAGAAAGGAATGCGTCGGTGGTTTGGTCATGTAGAAAGAATGAATGAGGAAAGAGTGACATAGCAAATTTATATGGCAGATGTGAACGGCCGAGTCGGGAAGGGACTCCCTAGAAAAAAGTGTATCGACCAAATTGGCGATATTTTGAAAAAGGGGCCACGTTAGAAGTACCCTTAACCGACGAGCATGTGTGCGTAGATATATGGATGTAAAGGAGGCGAAAGAGGTATGTCAGGATCGTGCCAAATGGAAGTCCGTAGTCTCTGCCTACCCCTCTGGGTGACAGGCGTGAGTGTTTATGTATTATGTATGTATGTATATGTTATATATATAGCTTGTATATACATATATATGTATATAAGTATATGAATTAAATTTGATAGATTAATGCTTTTCTAAACTTAATAAAATATTTTCAAGTAGAACAATATTGGGGTCACAAAGGTAATAATAAAAATATTTAATCTAAATCTAATTACAGCCAAACATTACCTCACACAAGTTCATGGTTGGTACTGCAGTGTCAGCTAAGCTTCTTTTATTGTAAGCTTGGGGTATGAAATATGATTTTTCAAAATGTTCAGAGTTCAAATGGTGCTAGTCCGTTTGGGTATCCAAGATTCATGGTTTCTACAAGCTACAATCCAAGATTTTCGCCTAAAAGGATCCTTTAGAAATCTGTAAAAACAAACCAATAATAGAAAAATTTACTACTTTTTGTAATAATTTACTGTAAAAGCTAAATAAATACTGCAAACCGGTTCGGCAGATAAACCCGCATGGTTAACTAACTTATCGATAGCTAAAGTTGTGGCGTCCATCACTATAGTGCAATACTTTCGGTTGCAGTGATACCAGTTTATTTTTATAAAAATTGCACACTTTTGCTGCGAAGTAGCAAGTTTCGATTTGACTTATTTGGCATTTATTTTGTATAATATTTTGATAAATACTAGTTATCGATTATATTAAATTATATAATATTCAGTATTGTGTTGAAATTGTGCTGAATATATAAATTATTTTTAACACGTCTATATGTAGTGATTATTATTCATCACAAACTGATTTGGTTATTAGGAAATATATTTTCGTTAATATATTTAACTTGTGTAGTAAATTATATTTATTTAAAAATAGATTATTTTTTCACTTTATGAACTATGATGGCCACACTCGGTATTGGACGAAAATATTCACAAAGTACGAGTTTTAATGATAAATTACTTTAATATTATGTTAAAAATACTCATAGATGGAAAGTCGGGTTGTAATTTTGTGTACTTGACGTTTTTGATTGTTTTTTTTTCATGTAAATACACTGCAATTCGGCATTTTATCGGAGCTCAATTTACTGGCAAGATCATTTCGGAATGACGCACGACGCGGAGCAACTAGTTTTATGTTAAAATTTAGTGTCGCATGTAAATACACTGCAACATAACGAGTATGAGTCGGACTCTCGTACCTTTTACAGAGGGGTACGCCTTGCGATGCCGTCTCCTTTGGTTTAATACTCAAAGCTCAGCGTAATTTATTTGTGTAATAAAAAATAGCAAATTGTATTAAAGTTATTTTTTTTTTTAGAAAGAGTATATATATATATATATTTTTTTTTTCAAGTTGTACAAATATTAGTGTAAGCATGTTTATCAAGAGGCTATTGTTAAGAATAATATAGTGCAAAAGTGCAGATGCATTGTCACCCCTGAGGAATAATATGGAATGCCTTGTTTCCAGTAAAATAGGGTCCCGGATCTCTAAACTCACCATACGTAACACAGCAGTATTAAGCTGTTATTTTAGGCTGGTATTCTGTGAGAGATTGGTTCTTCCCCGGTCGAGCCGACTTTTTCATGCTACAACTATAATACATATTGGTATAAAATATATTGGTGTTAATTTGTCAATAATAATGAGTACCGAATGAATGAGTAGTGACGGAGTAAAAATATATTATATCCCATCGTAATAAACATATTACATCCCGTGGGTGTCGTAAGAGGTGACGGAGCAAATGGGTAACATGGGATGGGTAACAGTGTCATAAAAATAAAAATAAAACCCGCTTGCCAAGAGTGGCAACTATGGCAAATATCACCCCTATGAAGCAATCTATGAGGAGGCCTATGTAACGGTAAATGTAACGGATGTCGGTAATAGAACCCTGGATGTGAAGAGATTCAATTGCATTTTTAAAACATTTTAAAATTCCTTTGCAGAGAACAGACCACGCAGCTATTGTCAATGCAAAAACGGAAAAAGAGATAGCGTTGGCTACAGAAATAGCCAAGCAGAGCAGAGAGGAAGCCTGTGAGCTGCTCAGACGCCATTATCTACGCGAACATGACCCAGAGTTAAGAGAGCTCATAAGGAAGTTGCAAGCTGGATATGTTTGTAGGGATCAGAGGCAACAGATTCTTCATAATGAATACAGGCGCCTTCAGAATAAGGTAATGTGATTGCACTTATCCTGGACATTTTGGACCACACTTGCCTCCGCTAAGGGAAAGGAAGTTGTTGTGTTATCTTTGTAGTATATCATTTACCTGTAAATATTAAAGCTAATAAAAAATCATTAGCTGCTCATAATCTTCTGATGTACCTTTTATATACTGGATGACCTGTTTTACAGCCTGGAAAAAAAAGGGTGTAACAGTGAACGGAGTAGTAACCTATGGCACTGATATTTTATAAAAAAATTGAATTAAATAAACAAATTGATTAAAATCCATCGAAATTCAAATTATATCTACCCTACTTCACGAACAGCAAAAACAATAAGTTTTGTAGGCATCTTTGACCTTGGCACTTCGCAGGGTCACAGGCTCCAGGGCAAAAGGCAAAGTAATTGTTCAAAAATTTTTTTCGAATGTTTAATTCAACATTTTTGCTTTTATTTTTATTTTTTGTAAAATGGGAGTATGCCTTAGGCTTATACTCCATTCACATGTTGTGTTCACACCCTACTTTTTCCAAATGGTAAAAAAGGTTATCCAGTATATGACAAAGGATGCCTTGTTGGTCTAGTGGTTAAAAAAGTGACTGCTTATGATGAGGTCTCAGGTGAAAAAGTCTAAGGTCTCAGTTTTTTTGTCAGGAAATCCTTAGTCGTAGCCAGGTTAGAAATTTGCCGTTATTTCACCTCCATGCCTCGGGAAAAATTTTAAAGCCATTTGTCCTTTGTCTGAATTCTCTGCGGTCGTGTCGCATTGCCTTCCTATATGATAATGTGAGTGATTGAATAGAGAATCACATCCCGTGCAGATGGCTAGACTCCGTTGAGACTGGCCGGAGTAGCCGAAATTCGGTCTGAAGGACATTATTTTAATTATCTTTTAATCAGCAGAATTTTTATTATTCCTCATTGCAGCGCTTCATAAGTCCACTGCCGAAACAGACGCATCACCAATGAATGTTACAAAAGCAAATTGCATGTATAAAATGTCTCACATTATATACGACCATTCATAATATTTCTTCCTTCTTTAAAAAAATGGCTCCATCAGTTTGCCGATTATTCATTCACAAATCTGCTGCTAGACAGTTAACCACTAAAAAGGTTTTGTAGCATAGCTTTAGTATTAGCTTACAGCCTATATAATATGGACTATAAATAACCTCGTTTTTTTACAAAGGAATACAAAACGAACAACAGAAGTAGAAAAATATGTTTAACAATAAATTCCTTTTCTTTCTCTCTTTATTTATATAAAAATAAAAAATACTATATGCTGCACATCAGAAAAAGAATTCAAAACTTTTATCAATATAGATTATTATATTTTTTATCAATCACTCTTATGTTTAATTTGGTTGGGAAAATACAATTAAAAAAATAAGTGGGACATTTAAAAAAAACAGTTTACAATAATTTAATATTTTACATAATTAACAATACAATTCTTTTTCTGCTTCCTCCTGTGGATCATGTAAGAAGTAAGTGAAGTTTATTACAGTGAAGTATATTTACATTATTTAGGCTAGGAAATAATTTCTTTCTTCTTTCTTATTACTTAATTTGTATAAGGAAGGTATTGAATTATGATTAACTGTTTTAAGTAGTATAGCCTTACTGCAGCTATATATTTGTTGGAGTAAGCATAATGCTGCTGTTTTGTATGGTGAGTGTAGAGAGAGAACCGGAGACCCTTATCACTGGAAACGAGGCATTCTATCTTAGACATCAGGGATAACACCGCTTCTGCATTTTGGTTCTTAATCAAGGATAGATGTAGAAGTCCATTAGTCCCAGTATCTACTTACCATCAGTTGGACTGTGTGCTCGTTTGTCACCCATAATCTATGAAGAAAAGAAGTATATTATATTTCCCTCTTTTGTGGCCATAGATTGTAGAGAAGAGAAGAAATATATTAACAAAAAGGTCTTGATGTCGTTTCCAAAAGTCTACTGCAGGACTTTGACCTCTCCCGATGGGGAGGGTTTGTTTTAATCATTACACATGGTGGATTGGAGATCGCTGTATTTGAGATATGATGCTGGTACACGTTCCCCGGTCTGGGTGTTAAGCGTCTGGCGTAAACAAAATGGTTATAACGCCATCTATCGGAAACTATCAGTTTTCTGTCATTTTTAAATAGTTTTTATAGTTACTTCTTACGACACCCACGCGAAGAAATGAGGTGATGGATTGTCTTATACCGCCACTACACAGTAATGTAGTGTGTTTGTTTTGTAAAATTTTATATGCATATTTGCAATGTTTATATTATGAATATCATAAATAAAAAAAATCGCAATAACTTCCATACAATGCTTGGCGGCCTACTACTGTACGATTTAAGTGATGTTTTCTTCCTTCTTTGTTGAGTCGAATACCACTAGCGCTTTTCCGGACCGATATGACTTAGGGACCTTCAAGAAAAGAGCCTTATCCTTTTAAAGGTTTGGCAACATACCTGCATTTCCACTAGTGTCGCAGTTATTCATTGACGGCGGTAGTCACTTATCATCAGGTGAGCCGCATGCTGGTTTGCTCCCTTTTTATATAAATATTTGACAATTGGATAGTACTAAAATATTGTAATCTGTCCGTTTTCAAAGTCCAAATGTTTACGTAATATGGCTTAGAGATAGAACTCAAGACTAGCGTTTAGGAAGAAGTCTATTTGAGTGATTATATACTTATATGTGATAAATATACTATCATGTATTGGAGTGCAGCGACATCGCCGTGTAGTGACGGCACAAGAGAATTCACTACGTCATATCATTCCGTGGGCGTCGTAAGAGGCGACAGAGCGAAGTGAAATAGAAGATGGGCAGAAATATCTGACCTGATAACAACTCAAAATAATACAACTGCGGTAACCTGCCTGCAAAGTGTAGCAACTATGGCAAATATCGACCATGTGAGGCAACCTATGGGGCCATCCTCATAGGTTGCTTCATATATAATCAGCATTGGACCCGACAGTCACTATGTTGAGCAGTGGGCTTTGATAGGTTGTAATTATGACGACGACGATGGTGGCAAGACACCCATTACGGACGCGGGAAGCAGCGACAAAAGTGCGAGAAGTCTGGTACTGAACTCAAAGCTGACTACCACGGACTATTACAGCAAATTCTGCCTACTGTGGTAGAAGCCAATGTCAAATTGTGATCTTTATAAAGGTTCATGAGGATCTATGATTAAAACAATATAACTTTGGATATTTCAGGTTGAAGAGAATCACGCAAATAGAATTCTCAGCGATGCACTCTACAGCGACTTGGAAGCAAAGGAGAAAGAAGATAAAGAGATGATGGAAAGAAAGTTACAGTATTGTAAAGAGTTGCAACAACAGTTAGTGAACAAACAAAGGGAGAAGCAGTGCCAGTTTGAGGATACGTTAATAGAGAAGAAGATGCTAGAAGATGTAATGAGAACCATCGCTGATGAAGACCAGAGGTGAGGAGTTAGCATTTGATTTTCTTCTTTTCCAGTAAAACTTCGTTAGCATCGTTGTGAGACAATCTCTCTTACAAGTATATGCTGCAGAAATAAGTCTGCCTGCTAATTTAGATGTACATTCAATCCAGTTCCATTATAGAGTAACTGTTAATAACCTTAACTATCATCTGTTAAGAATAACAAAAGCTCTAATGACTAAGATGGAATGCCTCAGAAGGGTCACCAGTTCTCGATACTCATACAGAACACATCAACAGCATTAGCTGTTATTTATGTTGTTTCTGTGATAGCGTGTTCCTTCCCCGGTCGTGCCGAACTATTTGTGTTGCGGCTATAACGTAACAACAAATCTGCTTTTTACGTGATATATATATTTATATATATATTAATTTTAACAAATAATATTCATTACACACAATATTAAAAAAAAACTATAATAAAGAAAAACTAAAACTAAAATTTTAAGTTGTGGTTAAATCTGGATGAAACGAAAAAGTGACACTAAAAGAGATAAACGTATACGAATCCCTCAGACGCGCAGGTTAACTCCTGATATTTTCCTTGACCGCCGAGCAAGTGGTAAATCAGCACATAAAATGGCAAATATTCAGGATATAGATATTTTTTATAAGCATCTCCATATACATCTTAAACTAGCGACTTGTTATTGGGTAGATGTATGACTATTATAACAAGATTCCCTGTAATATTTGTCTTGCATAAATTTAAAGCACATGGAAAAAACATTCTTAAAAAGAATATTCTCGAAAGGTCTCCTGCAGTAGGGACATGTAGATGCTATTCGTAGCTCTCTTGACACTTAAAAGTGCTTTGTAAAAGCTATTTATGAATTTTATTTTTATTTTTACTGACTATATATTCGTACGGCTACTTACAAAGAATTTCCAATTTATTTTTGACAGCTATTAGCATAATTAATTAAACCAATAAAATAAATTAAAATAAAGGGGATAAAATACATAAAATTAGTTATTTTGAATGTTGTGTATGTAATGGTACATTTCTAGGGAACTACAACAGAAACGCGAACAAACGGAGAAGCTGCGCAAGGAAGTGGAGACCTTCAAACAGGCACGTGAGGCCTGGAAGCAAAAGCAGAAGGAACTCCTCGTGCAAGAAGAGAGGCGTATTGAACAGCAAGGGAAAGCTGCGTCCGATAGGAGCCAGGCTATGTAAGTCGTTATGTTTCTAGTCTAGTTAGTTTAAATCTACTGTAAAAAAGATTTTTTGCGTTATATTTGAAGTAATAACATTTTTAATTTTTATATAGAGTGAGTGTGACAAACAAATTATAGGTTTAAGTGGTAGAGCCACGCTGTAGCTTATGGTTGTGGCTCGAATGACTTGGTCCCTTCTAAATATTACCATACTCTTTGTAGAGTTTACACGTGGTAGAGCCAAGCTGCAGCTATATTATGGTTGTAGCACGAATGACTTGGTCCCTTCTAAATATTACCATACTCTTTGTAGAGTTTACACGTGGTAGAGTCAAGCTGCAGCTATATTATGGTTGTAGCACGAATGACTTGGTCCCTACTAAATATTACCATACTCTTTGTAGAGTTTACACGTGGTAGAGCCAAGCGCACAGCTATATTATGGTTGTAGCACGAATGACTTGGTCCCTACTAAATATTACCATACTCTTTGTAGAGTTTACACGTGGTAGAGTCAAGCTGCAGCTATATTATGGTTGTAGCACGAATGACTTGGTCCCTTCTAAATATTACCATACTCTTTGTAGAGTTTACACGTGGTAGAGTCAAGCTGCAGCTATATTATGGTTGTAGCACGAATGACTTGGTCCCTTCTAAATATTACCATACTCTTTGTAGAGTTTACACGTGGTAGAGCCAAGCTGCAGCTATATTATGGTTGTAGCACGAATGACTTGGTCCCTTACTAAATATTACCATACTCTTTGTAGAGTTTACACGTGGTAGAGTCAAGCTGCAGCTATATTATGGTTGTAGCACGAATGACTTGGTCCCTTCTAAATATTACCATACTCTTTGTAGAGTTTACACGTGGTAGAGCCAAGCTGCAGCTATATTATGGTTGTGGCACGAATGACTTGGTCCCTTCTAAATATTACCATACTCTTTGTAGAGTTTACACGTGGTAGAGCCAAGCTGCAGCTATATTATGGTTGCAGCACGAATGGGTCGGTTCGACCGTGGAAGGACCACGGAACGGATAGAATGTCGGTAAAAATAGTCTCTACACATGCGATACTAAACATGACAGAATGAAGCCGCTATTTTACGCTAGTATTCTGTAAGAGTGTGGTTCCTTCTTTGTCCATTCCGATCGACGCATTGGTGTTACAAGCATGGTTTAACTGAGCATGTCTACCACATGTATGGCTTTTTCATATTCGGCTCTTATGACAACCATAGGACGAAATGGATGGATTCTCTTATAAGTTCATATCTACTGCTAATATTCAAATATCTTTTTTAAGATTTTAACGGAATATATAACCAATTACAAAAAATAGCTTTTAATTAAGTAGAAGCTGACTTCAAAGAAATAAAAAGGAATAATTAATTTCCGTCTATTGTCAAATTATATGGAACTACAAGTTACGTGCCGCGACTTGTAGTTCCATTAAAATTTGACAATAGATTCTAGCGCTGAATTAAATGTGGAGGGGATAGCTCCTTCCTCTAGCGCTGTCTTTTTGACGACACTTGGTCCTTTAAAAATCCTTTAATTTGCAATAAAAAATATTGAGGGTCACTTATCGGTATAAAAACAATCCTGTCTCTCAATTTGAAGCAAATATTATACATATCATCATTAATATATATAGTATATTATATATAGTTTCTCGACGCGATCTGGAAAGCAATGAATATAACCTGGCCAAACTTTTTAGGAAAAAATGTGACAAGATGCCAAGAACGATAGTTTTTTTATTCTGACTGCTACACAATCCGGAGAATAGCTTAATAGTCGTTATGTTAATTCTTGTCGGATCTACAACGAGACTCCAACGAGTCAGTAATTCCTTCATGGAGCAATTTATTATGTATGCACTTTTACAACAAAGTCCTAGAAAGTATGCAAACCTTATCTGTCATCATTTCATCATCATTACAGCCCTTCACAAGTCCACTGCTGAACATAGGCCTCCCCCAAGTAATGCCACAAAGCACGGTCCTGAGCCACCTGCATCCATCGACTTCCTGCATGTCTTACCAGGTCGTCACTCCATCTAGTGGGGGGTCGCCCTACACTACGCCTACCGGTTCGAGGCTGCCACTCGAGAACCTTTCTTCCCCATCGGTTATCGGTTCTTCGAGCTATATGGCCGGCCCATTGCCACTTCAGCTTACTAATCCGTTGGGCTATGTCGATCACTCTGGTTTTACTGCGGATATCCTCATTTCTGAGTCTATCACGCAGAGAAACTCCAAGCATAGCCCTCTCCATAGCTCGCTGAGCGACCTTAAGCGTCCTCATACGGCCAGCAGTGAAGGACCACGTCTCAGATCCGTAAGTCATCACTGGCAACACGCACTGGTTGTACAATCTAGTTTTTAGAGATTGAGGTATACCTGACGAAAAGATATGTCGTAATTTCCCGAACGCTGCCCAGCCGAGTTGAATCCGTCGATTGACCTCTCGGTCGAAGTTGGACTTACCTAGTTGGACTATTTGTCCCAGGTAAACGTACTCGTCAACAACTTCGAGCATAGTGCTCCCAACAACTACCGGCATAGGTGTGACATGGACATTAAACATGATCTTTGTTTTGTCCATGTTCATCTTAAGACCTATCCGTTGGGAGGCACTATTGAGGTCATTGAGCATAATGCTTAAGTCCTCCAGCGATTCTGCCATAATGACTATATCGTCGGCAAATCGAAGGTGAGTGATGTACTCGCCATTGATGTTAATACCGTATCCTTTCCAGTCCAGTAGCTTGAAAACGTCTTCCAACGCAGCGGTGAAGAGTTTCGGGGATATAACATCACCCTGTCTTACACCTCTCTGCAGTTGGATAGGTTTCGAACTCTGGTTCTGTACTCGGATAGCCATCGTAGCCCTGCTGTACAAACACTTCAGCACTTCGATGTACCGACAGTCAACTTGGCACCGCTGAAGGGACTGTAGCACCGCCCAAATTTCGACGGAATCAAAGGCTTTCTCATAGTCCACATATGCCAGGCAAAGTGGCAGATTGTACTCTTCGGTCTTCTGTACAATCTGCCGCAGGGTATGTATGTGGTCTATGGTACTGAAGCCTTTTCGGAAACCGGCTTGTTCGGGAGGCTGGAAGTCGTCGAGTGTGCGTGCGAGACGATTCGTAATGACTCTCGAAAATAGCATGTAGACGCGGCTCAGAAGGGAAATCGGTCTGTAGTTCTTCAAGAGAGCGTTGTCGCCTTTCTTAAAGAACAAAACCACCGCGCTTCTGCTCCACGCCTCCGGAGTAGTGCCACCATGGAGGACGGAATTGAAGAGCTTCCGAAGGACTTCAAGTACCGGTTTTCCACCCGCTTTCAGAAGCTCCGCTGTAATTCCATCCTCGCCCGGGGCCTTGCCGTTTTTAAGGTGGTGGAGAGCCATTCTAATCTCGCTCAGACTGACGTCCGGGATATCATCGGAATAGTGTCGGATAAGACTTGCTCTTGGATCGTTACTCACACTTACGTGTGGCTCCAACGATGATGTGTACAGCTGCCCATAGAACCTCTCAATCTCACTCAAAATCTCAGGTGTCCCGGAAACGATGTTGCCACACTCAGTCTTCAGCTTTGACAGTTGGCTCTTTCTGGCAGACAGATCTCTGGCAAAGACTTTGGAGCCCTGGTTCCGCTCGATCGCTTCTTTAATACGAGAAGTATTAAAGTTGCGTAAGTCTCGCCGCCGTGTAGTGGCGGTTAAGAATATCCACTACCCCATATCTTCCCGTGGGTGTCGTAAGAGGCGACAGAGGGAGACAGGCAGGAGATGGGCAGCAGCATCTTCCTGATAACAACTGTGACGTAATAAAAAACTGCGGTTGCCAACCCGCTCGCCAAGCGTGGCAACTATGGCAAATACCCCCAATGAATAAATACATAAACAGACGGCCCCCAGTCCCCGGCGGCCCCGCTATTCCTGGCTACGGTGGCGACCATGGTAACGGCGGGGCAGGGGGTGCTAAGAATCTCCGGTGGAGGTTCGGTTGCCACCTACGACGACTCGACCTGGCAACATATAACGCACGCACCCTGAGGACTGACGAGAAGATACTAGAGCTGGAAGAAGAGGTAGACAAGTTGCGCTGGCATATTATTGGATTATCCGAGGTCCGAAGAGAGGGGGAGGACACGGCAATCCTCGAGTCCGGCAACTTGTTCTATCACCGGGAGGGCGACCATCTGTCCCAAGGAGGTGTCGGATTTATCGTCCACAAGTCTCTCGTCAACAACGTTGTAAAGATTGGGAGTGTGTCGACGAGGGTCGCGTACCTGATACTCAGAATCACCAAACGGTATTCGCTGAAGGTCATTCAGGTTTACGCACCAACCTCGGCACATCCCGATGAGGAGGTGGAGGAAATGTATGAGGATATTTCCAGAGCCATACATTCCTCCAAAACCCACTACACGGTGTTGATGGGAGACTTCAACGCAAAACTAGGCACAAGAGAAAGCGGTGAGCTGAAGGTAGGGAAATTTGGAGTAGGGCAACGGAACCGAAGGGGCCAGCAGCTGGCCGACTTTATGGAGAAAGAGGGACTCTTTATGATGAACTCTTTCTTCCAGAAGCGGCCCCACAGGAAGTGGACCTGGTCGAGCCCCGACGGTTCGACAAAAAATGAGATTGACTTCATTATGACGACCAGACGCCAACTGTTCAGTGATGTCTCAGTGATCGCAAGGGTGAAAACTGGCAGCGATCACCGAATGGTTAGAGGCACACTGAACCTAAACGTTAAGTTGGAGAGGTCTCGTCTAATGAAGTCAACGCTCCGTCCCCCTCGTGCTCTGATCCAAAATCCCGAAAACTTTCAGCTCGAGTTACACAACCGCTTTCAGTGCCTACAAGATTGCAATGCAGTGGACGATATGAATGACAAGCTCGTGGAAACTGTCCATGCGGTCGGAGCTAAGTTCTGCAAGACCCGCCGCAGAAGAACACAAAAACTCTCCGATCACACTCTTAATCTCATGGCTGTTAGACGGGAGATGAGGCTGCAATCGTCAACAGATTTGACAGCATACAGGCAACTGAACAGACAGATCTCCAAATGCATGCGGCGAGACTTACGCAACTTTAATACTGCTCGTATTAAAGAAGCGATCGAGCGGAACCAGGGCTCCAAAGTCTTTGCCAGAGATCTATCTGCCAGAAAGAGCCAACTGTCAAGGCTGAAGACTGAGTGTGGCAGCATCGTTTCCGGGACACCTGAGATTTTGAGTGAGATTGAGAGGTTCTATGGGCAGCTGTACACATCATCGTTGGAGCCACACGCAAGTGTGAGTAACGATCCAAGAGCAAGTCTTATCCGACACTATTCCGATGATATCCCGGACGTCAGTCTAAGCGAGATTAGAATGGCTCTCCAGCACCTTAAAAACGGCAGGGCCCCAGGCGAGGATGGAATTACAGCGGAGCTTCTGAAAGCGGGTGGAACACCGGTACTTGAAGTCCTTCAGAAGCTCTTCAATTCCGTCCTCCATGGTGGCACTACTCCAGAGGCGTGGAGCAGAAGTGCGGTGGTCTTGTTCTTTAAGAAAGGCGACAACGCTCTCTTGAAGAACTACAGACCGATTTCCCTTCTGAGCCGCGTCTACGTGCTGTTTTCGAGAGTCATTACGAATCGTCTCGCACGCAGACTCGACGACTTCCAGCCTCCCGAACAAGCCGGTTTCCGAAAAGGCTTCAGTACCATAGACCACATACATACCCTGCGGCAGATTGTACAGAAGACTGAAGAGTACAATTTGCCACTTTGCCTGGCGTATGTGGACTATGAGAAAGCCTTTGATTCCGTCGAAATTTGGGCGGTGCTGCAGTCCCTTCAGCGGTGCCAAGTTGACTGTCGGTATATTGAAGTGCTGAAGTGTTTGTACAGTAGGGCTACGATGGCTATCCGAGTACAGAACCAGAGCTCGAAACCTATCCAACTGCAGAGAGGTGTAAGACAGGGTGACGTTATATCCCCGAAACTCTTCACCGCTGCTTTGGAAGACGTTTTCAAGCTACTGGACTGGAAAGGATACGGTATTAACATCAATGGCGAGTACATCACTCACCTTCGATTTGCCGACGATATAGTCCTTATGGCAGAATCGCTGGAGGACTTAAGCACTATGCTCAATGACCTCAATAGTGCCTCCCAACGGATAGGTCTTAAGATGAACATGGACAAAACAAAGATTATGTTTAATGTCCATGTCACACCTATGCCGGTAGTTGTTGGGAGCACTATGCTCGAAGTTGTTGACGAGTACGTTTACCTGGGACAAATAGTCCGACTAGGTAAGTCCAACTTCGACCGAGAGGTCAATCGACGGATTCAACTCGGCTGGGCAGCGTTCGGGAAATTACGACATATCTTCTCGTCAGGTATACCTCAATCTCTGAAAACTAAAGTGTACAACCAGTGCGTGTTGCCAGTGATGACTTACGGATCAGAGACGTGGTCCTTCACTGCTGGCCGTATGAGGACGCTTCAAGGTCGCTCAACGAGCTATGGAGAGGGCTATGCTCGGAGTTTCTCTGCGTGATAGACTCAGAAATGAGGATATCCGCAGTAAAACCAGAGTGACCGACATAGCCCAACGGATTAGTAAGCTGAAGTGGCAATGGGCCGGCCATATAGCTCGAAGAACCGATAACCGATGGGGAAGAAAGGTTCTCGAGTGGCAGCCTCGTACCGGTAGGCGTAGTGTAGGGCGACCCCCCACTAGATGGAGTGACGACCTGTTAAGATATGCAGGAAGTCGATGGATGCAGGTGGCTCAGGACCGTGCTTTGTGGCATTACTTGGGGGAGGCCTATGTTCAGCAGTGGACTTGTGAAGGGCTGTAATGATGATGATGATGATGAAGTCTCGCCGCATGCATTTGGAGATCTGTCTGTTCAGTTGCCTGTATGCTGTCAAATCTGTTGACGATTGCAGCCTCATCTCCCGTCTAACAGCCATGAGATTAAGAGTGTGATCGGAGAGTTTTTGTGTTCTTCTGCGGCGGGTCTTGCAGAACTTAGCTCCGACCGCATGGACAGTTTCCACGAGCTTGTCGTTCATATCGTCCACTGCATTGCAATCTTCTAGGCACTGGAAGCGGTTACGTAACTCGAGCTGAAAGGTTTCGGGATTCTGGATTAGAGCACGAGGGGGACGGAGCGTTGACTTCATTAGACGAGACCTCTCCAACTTAACGTTTAGGTTCAGTGTGCCTCTAACCATTCGGTGATCGCTGCCAGTTTTCACCCTTGCGATCACTGAGACATCACTGAACAGTTGGCGTCTGGTCGTCATAATGAAGTCAATCTCATTTTTTGTCGAACCGTCGGGGCTCGACCAGGTCCACTTCCTGTGGGGCCGCTTCTGGAAGAAAGAGTTCATCATAAAGAGTCCCTCTTTCTCCATAAAGTCGGCCAGCTGCTGGCCCCTTCGGTTCCGTTGCCCTACTCCAAATTTCCCTACCTTCAGCTCACCGCTTTCTCTTGTGCCTAGTTTTGCGTTGAAGTCTCCCATCAACACCGTGTAGTGGGTTTTGGAGGAATGTATGGCTCTGGAAATATCCTCATACATTTCCTCCACCTCCTCATCGGGATGTGCCGAGGTTGGTGCGTAAACCTGAATGACCTTCAGCGAATACCGTTTGGTGATTCTGAGTATCAGGTACGCGACCCTCGTCGACACACTCCCAATCTTTACAACGTTGTTGACGAGAGACTTGTGGACGATAAATCCGACACCTCCTTGGGACAGATGGTCGCCCTCCCGGTGATAGAACAAGTTGCCGGACTCGAGGATTGCCGTGTCCTCCCCCTCTCTTCGGACCTCGGATAATCCAATAATATGCCAGCGCAACTTGTCTACCTCTTCTTCCAGCTCTAGTATCTTCTCGTCAGTCCTCAGGGTGCGTGCGTTATATGTTGCCAGGTCGAGTCGTCGTAGGTGGCAACCGAACCTCCACCGGAGATTCTTAGCACCCCCCTGCCCCGCCGTTACCATGGTCGCCACCGTAGCCAGGAATAGCGGGGCCGCCGGGGACTGGGGGCCGTCTGTTTATGTATTTATTCATTGGGGGGTATTTGCCATAGTTGCCACGCTTGGCGAGCGGGTTGGCAACCGCAGTTTTTTATTACGTCACAGTTGTTATCAGGAAGATGCTGCTGCCCATCTCCTGCCTGTCTCCCTCTGTCGCCTTTTACGACACCCACGGGAAGATATGGGGTAGTGGATATTCTCAACCGCCACTACACGGTGCCTTATCTGTCAATAGGTTTAAAATATTTATTAAACAAAAACTGTTTAGTAAAGGTTATTATACTACTAAAGAGTACTTACACATTAGTACACGATTGATGATGAACCCCTGTGAATGAGGTGATCGTTACCACGTTGTTTCGAAATGTTGTCATAACAATTGTATAAATATTATGTTGTACGTTATGCTTTAAAAAAACCCGCTGTGTTTCTTGCTTGTTCTGCCCAGGACAGAGGTTTTTTTCCCGAACCAGTGGTGAGAGTAAAAAATGATTTTAAATAAGAATTACATGTAATAAATATTGAATGAAAATGATTCTATTCTATTCTATAGTTTTGTTTATTCATTTCTAATCTAATTAAGATAAAATTAAACTAATATTTGTTCCATTTTCTTAAAAAAATAATTTCCCTCTATGAAATTGACCATGAATTTCAACACACCGTCCTAGTGGTAAAAAGGTTTTATTACTTACAAGTAATTGATGAAGATATATAAAAACACAGTCGAATTGTAAGGCTCAATTTACACTGCTGTGGAACTGAATGGAAGCGAATTTTTGTAACGAAAGTAAAGTGAGTCTTATGTTAATTGTCTAACGCGCAAATTAGATATGAGCCAAAAAAGAAGTCGCGTAGCTTACTGTTAGCGAAGTCTGTCGAATTCGTGGGAAGTGACGCCAAGGGCGTGGATCGTACCAGAGCTCTGCATCCGTCGACTTATACATATTCTAGTTTAACGCATATAGAACTACTGTTTATTGTAATTGTAATGGAAATAATATTTTATACAGAGTAGCAGAAAGAGAGAGAAAGCTACAGCTGAAAGAGAAGTTGAATGAAAAAGTTGTGGCAAAGATATTGATCGAGGAGGTAATATTATTTTTACTGTATAATTAAATTTATTAGTTTATAACAGTTATTAGTTTTTCGTGGTTAGTATGTCGTTGGTTAGTACCGACAACTGGAGACCTATTGCCGCGTCTCCACATTATCGCCGTGAACCTCCGTGAACAGGCGTCAACGTGGATGGTTTTCGCGGGATTCACGCACGTTCGCGCCTGTTCCCCGATCAGGGTCGGTATTTAGTCCCGCGACAAAGGGTTCACACACCCTTCGCGCAGCGTTCACGCGTACACATCCACATTCACCACCGTGCCAGTTCGTTTTGGTGTACAAAGTACGGACGATTTAATTTAGTCATACACCATCTTCTTCTTTATAGGACACAGCACACACAGCAATTTTTTTTATAGGACAGGGTAATAAACTAGCACACTGTCTACCTGATGGTAAGATGTTGCTGTGGCCCATAGACGTCTACATCTATCCTCGATTACAAATCAAAATGCAGATGCGTTGTCACCCCTGAGGACTAAGAGTAAATGCCTCGTTTCCAGTAAAAAGGGTCTGCGGTTCTCTACACTCACCGTACGAAGAACTAGTAGTAGCATTAAGCTACTATTTTTACGCTGGTATTCTGTGAGAGCGTGGTCCTTCCCCGGTCAAGCCGACCCATTCGTGCTACAACTGTACTACTAATATAACTGCAGCATGGCTCTACCACGTATAAAATATATAAATAAATAAAGTTATTGCAGCAGCAGCTTCTACGTCCGTTTCGCGGCGGGTTTCACGAACGATTGTAAGAATCCCGTGAACGTGGAGGGCACGACTTGTGCCGTGAATTCACGGCGTGAAAAAATAATGTGGACCCGCCATTATACTGGTAATGAGGTATTCTGAATTATTCTTTAAGGGTGACAACGCATCTGCATTTTGACATCTCATCTAGGATTGATCAGGTCACTTACCATGTAATTGCGTGCTCGATTACCACCCTTACTTCTTCTATAAAAAGATATATTATTAAAACTACTTTTACGGATTTTATCGCGTTTATTTTTACATTTTATTTACTTTTATTTTTAATTCCCGACGTTTCGGGCGCTTTCCAGCACCCATGGTCACGGGGGACTGAGATGACTGACGTCCCGATGTCATTGTTAAACCCGGAGTACCTTCAGCTTTTTTAATTATTGTTTATATAAAAACAAATTATTGTTTATATAAAAAAACGCGTAAAAGAACATATAGCTGATGTGAAGCATCAACGTTCCGGGAAGTCTGCAGTTTGTGATCATATCCTAGACGGCCCCAACCATTACATCAGATTTGATAGACCACAAATCCTCGCGAAAGAACACCGATTCCTACCAAGGATGATACGTGAGGCTATTGAAATTAAAAAAACATCCTAATTTCAATAGAGAAGGAGGCTGGGTACTACCACCTGCTTGGGATCCTATAATCAATAAAATTAAAACTAAACCCAAGCATACCACTGCAAGACCTCAGGACATAATCAGTTCATTTTGCATAGATCGGACCATAAACAATAATTAAAAAAGCTGAAGGTACTCCGGGTTTAACAATGACATCGGGACGTCAGTCATCTCAGTCCCCCGTGACCATGGGTGCTGGAAAGCGCCCGAAACGTCGGGAATTAAAAATAAAATGTAAAAATAAACGCGATAAAATCCGTAAAAGTAGTTTTAATCATGTATAGTGTTCGCGTAAATATAAGAAATCATTAAAAGATATATTAGTTGATTTTTGGGCGGCGCTCCACTAGATGGAGTCACGACCTGGTAAGATATGCAGTAAGTCGATGAGATGGCTTAAGACCGTGCTTTGTAACGTTACTTATGGGAGGGCTATGTTCAGCAGTGGGCTTGTGAACACTTTAATGATGATGTTGATGAAGCAGTTGATTTATTTGTAAAATTATTGGTAATACTATTTTCATTTCTAGGAGATTGTCCCAAACCCAAAATAAGTGTAAGACAAAACATCAATTTATCTTCCAGTATATTGTTGACGTAAGAAAATACTCTAATAAAAAAATGTGATTGCCAACCTAAGCGTTGAAATTATGGCTAAATCCCACCTATGAGAAAATCTATGTGGAGCGAGGGGGTGGCATGTTCAGTTGTGGATTTTTATAGGTTGTAATAGTGTACATGAGAACTTTTTTTAATAAAAGTGAGAGTAGTCAATAATAGATTCAGGCGTTACTTTAGGGCAATCCATTATATTAAAGATGTTAAAATTAATTTGCTAAGATCTGCGTGTTAGTTAAGGTTTGCTTGAAAAATAAAATATGTCTTACCTTGTTTGAAGAGCATCTTTCACACAGCAACATAAAGCTGCAATTAAAAAAAAATTATTATCAAATAAAAATTTATAAAAATTTGCTATGCGGCACAGCGAAAAACCACGCAGGTTTGTGTTGTGTGCCATTCTGTCTACATTTTTATACTACTATTTGTTACACAAATGGGGATAACAGTTAATATTTGTTAAGGCTCGATCGGGGAAGGACCACGCTCTCACAGAAAATTTCATGCTAATGTTCTGTGAGAGCGTGGTCCTTCCCCGGTAGAGCCGACATATACGTGCTGCAACCGTAATATAGCTGCAGCGTGGCCCTACCGCATACCTGTTTGAAAACCAAACCTTTTTATTGGGCATACTGTGATCTAGAAAATTATTATTTAATACAGCAACGACATGTGTCTTTCGGGCAACCCGGAAAATCCATAAGGTCTTTCGGGCATTCCCGGCTAGGAACCGCGAGATACAGAGATACATAACACTAGTTTATTACTTCTTATTTTTTGCTTTTTTTATTCTTATTTTTTTTTATATCTGCTTTCGCGCAAGGACATCCATTCTGACCCGGAACAATTATTTATAGGCCATACAAACATTTGTTTCGCGCGGGATTCAAACCCGCTGCCCTCAGCGCCGCAACCCAATGCTAAGCCCTTGCGCCACGGAGCCGTCAATCCTAATTTTCACATTGTATTTTCCACATCTCAGGAGTCTCGTCGAGAACGAGAAGAAGTTATAAGAATGCTTCAGGAGCAAGAATACTTAGAGAAGGGAATCCAAGAAGATATCGCCGAGAGGGACAAAACTGAGAGTACCAAGAAACAGACCAAAGAGGTTCTCACACAGCAGATGGAGACTAAGCAGAGGCTGGAAAAGGAGCAAAAGGAGAGGGAGGCTAATTATAGAAAACTGGTAAGTTTGGTCATGGTATCATAAAATTGTTAAATTTTCATTCTTCAATTATAATATAAATCTTTGTGATAATCTGAAAAGACAATACGCAGGCATTAGTTGACACCTATATTATAATACTGCATTAATAGAAACAAATATTTTATAAGGGACTCGGGTTTATCGTTAGAGCCTCGGCTGATGACTCCATATTTAGAAGCTGCACCAAATAGTGCTGCAGAAAAAAATACCTATCAACTGGCATTGCCAAGTGAGAAACTGTGGAAAAAACAAATGGGTATCTCAAAGGCACATTCCGAAACCTGGGTATTGACACGGTACTGTACTACAGTCCAGAAAGCTTCACAACTAATATATACTTATGCAACACTTTACAATATCATGATACATTAAAGGTGTTTTGTTAATATATGTACGTTATATTTGAGTATATCCTCATACACATAATTACTATTGGAATGTTTGTTTACTAAACATTAATTTAATTTAAGGTGCCATCGCGAAAAAATGCACCTCTTTTCATCGAATAGTTTTAACTATGACACCACCATCGAAACTGGAATTTTGATATAGGTAAATTCATGTCTTTGTTTTGAATTTGCTTCTTCAAAAACACTATTGTATAATTTTGACTCGATCATAATTATTTGCGAAAACACCTCTAAAAATCACTATAGTTGAAATTACAACGAAATTACTTAATCTATATGCGTGGGAATTACTCAAATATATTCATAACATCAATATTCGTAATTTACTTGCCATTATTTTGATTACTTAAATCAATAAATAATTTTTTTTAAGATTCTGACAATTTCTAAGCGGTCTTAATCGTCGCGGGCGCTACGCAATTTTAGACCTTATGATGGCTTTTTAAAAAGTTTTTATGGAAATTATGTATTCAATCAGATCAGTCCGACGATAGCCCGGAGCCATTTTAAACTTTCTTTTTCGTTGTGTCGCCTTGATTCCAGTGGAACAACTAAAGAACTACTCATCACATCTGTGGATCAAACCAGGCTGTTGACAATTACCGGACAAAAAAGCGAAGATTAATAAATACATACTTCAACTAAAATTTATTTGTATAATTACTTTTTCATCGTTTTGAGCTTATAGCCATGATTTAGGTGGGCATTCTTTTTTTATAGGATTAGGGTGTCAAACGGGCACACAGTCCACCTGGTGGTTAGTGGATGCTGTGGCCCATAGACATAGATATTTAACCTTGATTAAGAATCAAAATTCAGAAAAAGCATTGTCACCCTTGAGGACTAAGATGGAATACCTCGATTCCAGTAAAACGGGTATCCGGTTCTCTACACTCACCATACGAAACACAGCAACATTAAGCTGTTATTTTATGCTGGTATTCTGTGAGAGCGTGGTCCTTCCCCGGTCGAGCCGACCCATTCATGCTACAACCATAATGTATAAAATGGTTCTGTGTACGAAGCAATTGATTTTTCTCACACAAGAGATTATTACGCTCTTTGTGCCTTTCGTCTATATAAATAAGAAAAATAAGGTCTAATTTATATTGACTTTAGCAGAATAATAAATAATTGGCGATAAATATAGAAGAACAGGTTATAAAATAGTATCAATTATTTGTAAACAGAAAGATTTGTAGACAAAATGAGTTAAGTTTACATTTCGCTTTCATAATACAACTGTTACTTTACAACATTTTATGTGATAATACTTACTTTTTGGCACTCATTTCAATATATTATCAACTATAGGAACAAAAACGTTTATTTGTTTAATGAAAAACAAAAATTAAACTGTCAAAATCACGAGCAAAGATAAATAATAATGACTTGGTGACTTGAGTAGGTATCAATTTTGAAGTATTTTGTAATTTTCTTATAATGGCAATAAAACTTCCACCTGTGGGCCCATGCTCGAATGGTGGATAAAACTGAGCAAGGGGATTGACATTTTGTTCTTTTCTTTCTTTTCTTTTGGATAAATTGTCTCCTGCTCATGCTAGCCCTGCTGAAAGTTTTCAGTCAATCTCTACCTCGTCTCACTGGTCTTTTTGAAAACTATTTTGTCGATTCATTTTAAAGAAATTATCTCCCTATTTAGATGGAATCACAAATATCGTCTACCGAACAAAAGGAAAAGGAGGACCAACTGAAACAAAAAGAGAAGAAGCGGCAGTACTGCCTCGAGCTCCAGCAACAGATAGAAGAGAACGCACGTCGCAGAATGAAGGAGAACGAACTGGAGGAGAATCGGGCGAAGCATGTTTTTGATTACAATAAGGATTGGTAGGTTTTTGTTTAGTGAAATTGAAGTTTTGGCAGAAAAACGAAACGGGATGAAGTCTAAATCACGCTATCGAAGTTTCCTAAGTACTCCAGTATATGTAGAATAGCGTATTCAATGCGCAGCGTTGACTGCTACCAAAACAAGTCTTTCTGCGGCCAAAAATTACAGACTGATGGTAAGTAGTTAATGCAGTTCATGTAAAAGTACAGCTAATTTCAATCAAAGATAGACTTACAAGATGCGTTGTCACCTTTGTAAACTAAGATGGGATACTGTCTCTACATGCTGAAATGACAGGGCATTCCGAACCTAAACTCAGTGGTGGAAGCACCTATACTCATGAACTCCTAGGTAGAAAAGGAATATTTATCATCTAGTCATATGATAAAGCCTATAATGAATTATCCAGATGGAATTTCGATCACAACGGTCAAATCTTCAACGGAGACTAGCCATATGTGCAAAACAGAATTATAGTGGCAGAGTGTATATGGTAAGCACAGCTGCACTCCCCATTCCCTCAATCTCATAGTCCGATGGTATGGTAATCCGATACGACCGGAGAGCATGCGGCAGAACCAACGGCTTTATGTGCTTCCCGAGGCACGGGGTTAAAACACCGCCAACTACTTGACTCCAGGCTGCTACTGAGAAGTTCTTAACGGAAAAATCCAATAACTAATTTAGGCGACCCGGGATTCGAATCTGGGCCCTCGTGATCGGCAGTCGCGTTTTCGACCACTAGACCAATGAGCCAGTCGATCAAAGCAAAGACAAAAAAGTATCGCATAGTAGACGTCTTGCAAAGTTACACAGTTACTATAGAAGATTACCACTGAGCACAGGCCTTATTCCTAAAAGAGTTGTAAAGCAGGGTTTGAGAATTTTATTTCTCAGATATCTGACATGTGACATGACAGATTTCCTTAAGATATTTTCACTATCGAGTACATCGTTAATGTTAAGCTAATCTAAATTTTTGCAGGAGCACAGAGGTAACAGAAGAGCGCAAGAAAATCGTAGAAGAGCACGCACCTCATCTTCTGGGCTATTTGCAGCCCGGAGTCCTAGGGCAGCAGGATTTGCCAGCAATCAAAAGCGGAGTCCAAAAAGACCCACGGCTGGCACAACTCGACATAGAGTCCATGGCTGTATCGAAGAAACCGCTCAGGTTCCCCAAATGCAACCCGCAGTGTAAAGTTTTAAAACACTATTAATGCGATATTTTCTATATCATAATTTTTGTAATGAAATAATTGCGAATATTATTTTATTAAAATACATTTTCGTTTCACTCTTCTTTTCTTTACTATCCTTTAACTACTGAAAAAAACTTCCCCTCATGTAATAATAACTAGGCTCCGTTGAGATTCGCCCCCCGTGGCCTAAATTTTGTCTGGAGAACAAACACTATTTGCGCAGGACATGATTATATGTAGTGTGTGCTAGTACAGGTGCACTCGCTATTCCCTCACTCCCATTGTTGGACGAGACGGTAAGCCGACACGACCGGAGAGAGATCAGACGCAGGATCAAAGGCTTTACGTGCTTTCAGAGGCACTGAGAATTTCTTAGAAAAAAACCTGATATGTAACTGAATTCGGCCCAACCCGGGACCCTATCATCAGCGGTCGCGCTTCCAACCACTACACTAACAAATCTCATCAAATCTATTGCAGAAAGCGTTAGTCGTAATCGCGACGACCTGCAAATAGATTTATGTTCATTCAACAATGATTTATATTTACGCGAAAACTACACAATCAATAAAACTACTTTTACGGATTTTATCGCGTTTAATTGTACTTATTTTTATTTCTCGACGTTTCGACATCAATCGCTTCTGTTCCCCGTGACCATGGGTGCTAGAAAGCACCTGAAACTTCAGGAATTAAAAATAAGTACAGTTAAACACGATAAAATCTGTAAAAGTAGTTTTATACAATTCATACAACAACATAATATTTTATGTTGTACCAGATGACCTTTGATGCTACTTATCGGTGTCGGTCTGGGTGTTATACAGGGAATATTAAAAACATGATTTTACATCTGGCAATTACGAGGTGGTATATCAACCGGAATCCATGGTTCTTTCCTAACCATAATAGCCGTCATGGATAATCTTACGCAGCCACTACACATCAATATCTTATTCTTGTATTTGTATAATGTTCCATCATTTAATAAAACTTATTTTACAGATTTTATCGCGTTTAATTTGACTTATTTCGAGTGCTTTACATCACCTATGGTCAGGCCGGGCTAACTATGACACCGGGACAGGCCTCTGTCACTCTTGCTACCTGCGTGAAATAATTACCTAAAATCGCGATTCACCCAGGGTGCAGGTTTCAGTTTACACAAAGGTACTCTGTGGTGCAGGGCTAGCGCGTTGTAGACGATTGATGAATTTTAACGCTGTTTACGTAAATAGTTTTTGTAAACACTTGTAATTTTTGTTTAGTGTTTAGTATATTTAATTGTAGGATAAAATAGTTTAAATTTTTTTAATGTGGTTTAAAAATAATATATAATTACCTATCTATTCGATAAATTATAATGGCAAAACTTCGAACCTACTATAATTGTTGCGTGGATGGATGATATGATGAGCAAACAAAAGGATTCAGATAATATCATTTTTTATGTTACCTAAGGATAATGAAAGATACATTTATTCAATTTTTTTAATAAATACTTATAGCAAAAAAGAATTAAGTAATAATTTAAATACAGAAGTAATACCTAAGTACTTTACTTCAAAACTTAGTTGAAATTTACTTCACTATCTAAGTAGGTAGCTTACATGTATTTTGTAATAAAAATATTTTAAGTTATCACAAAGCACTGAAATTAATACTTTGTTTACAAGATTTTTAACTAATTAGAATACAATTACATTTCATTTCACCTATTAGTTCTGAGCGATTTATTAAATCGCAATTCGCGACGAGTGACCTTGCAAGTTGCGTGCGTTGGGCACAGAATTCGCATAGTAGCAAAAATTTTATGTTCATTCGATCAGTCAGAATAGGTAGCTTACGTATTTTACATACCATTTCGCAACGTATTAATTAATTAATTTATACACTTTATTGCACACAACATATTAAAATAACACACCACCCTTAATTTATAAATTTAAATACAATTAGGTGGCCTCATCGCTAAACAGTAATCTCTTCTAGGCAAAGCTTGGTAACGTAGTACTACATATTATTTAATCTATGCCTTGGTGAACAATCCGTAAATAGAAGTGTGTATAAATAGTAGATCAACGAGCATATATTAATACATATTATAAGCTAAATAAGTACCTACTTACATGTGTTTTTAATATAGTGCAATATCACTATTATTTTTCTGTGCGGATGCCTGTTCCCATATACCACTTAATTAAATGTGGAATCTAATCACCATTGAAGATTAGCGTGAAATTGGAGAGGTTAGTGATTCTTATTCATACCTATATTGTAATACAAATTGTTTTTGAATATTGAGTTGTTCTTGAATGGTTTAGAGCGCCTGGCGAATGGTGATGAAGCAGTCGTAGATGAAAGCGGGCTAACATTGCAGTTTATTATTATTAAACCATATACTTAAATAAAAATAAACAAATAGTTTTAAAGAAATTATAAACTTCCAAATTGTCGCTGTCAGAAATCGAACCCGGTAGTTCCCGGATTCCACCACAGAGCTTCAATGCGCCAAATCCTTTTCAATTTGACGACAGAATTTAAAAGAAAGGAAGCGTTAACAGGTATTTTAGAGACAAAAAAATTATTTTAAGTAAAACAATTGTAAATTAAAAAAATTATTAATGTTACCGCGGAAAAAGAGCCGTGATGTAGAAAGAGGAAAAGATGCAAAGTAATACGGACACACGCGCGCAGCCATAAAGGTTTATTTAGCTTGCGTGCGTAAATAATCTTATTAATATTAATTATGTAGGCAAGCAGTCAACATCAAAAGAGTGAAATTTCTGTACGTAGTACTATTATTTAGGCATGTCGATCTTAAATCGATTAATCGAAAAATCGGTTCTTTGGCGTAAAATAATCGATCTTTTAGATCGATTCCGAGCACCGCATCGATTCACTGAATTGATCCAAAAACCTCTCGAATCTGACTGATTCATCTGATTCAAAAACTACTAGCGATAAAATTCCCAAACTGGCTGGGGTCAGATACCGCAGTTTTTCAATTTTTTGCTGTTGGAGGACGCAAAAACAACCGGTCGTACTTGGTTGATAATTTGAACTCAATATATATTTGTATAAAATAAACATTTATGAACGCATCCAACAATATCAAAAAGTTGTCATTTCATTTTCATTTCTAAAATTCTAATTCTAATCTTACCTGTGGAATGTTGGTCTAACTTAATCTGTGCTGTGAACAAAGACTACATATACATACTACAATATAATATTATAGCTGTGAAACTGTTTGAACTGTGAACTTGTGAATTTACTTTATTTATTATCAAAAACATACATACTGTGAGCTGTAAGTACAGACAGAGTAATTTTTAAATACCTAGATACTGTAAATAAATATTATACCGTACGTTGAAGTTTATAGAGGTTTATAGTAAGGAAATAACCAGTATTGTGTTCGTGTAGCATTCACTTCAATTTGATAAATAGTTTAAACTTTTGTTAAAGTATTGTTGTTGTTTCTAGCCTAAAATTTCAAATAAAAGTGATACATGGAATCACTTTGTAAAAAAAAAGGATCGAGTGGCTTATGTGCGAACCACTACTAACACAAGCGTTTCAAGCTTACCAGGAGTGGTTAAAAGGAATATTAATAATGTTAATTAATAAGATTACTAATATTTTATTAAAAAAAAATATTAAAGTTCCATTAAAGAAAAAATCGCAAATTCTTGAAATTTCATGTTTGAAAATGTCGCGATTAATCGAAAATCGATCTTTTAATCCCCGATTTAATCGATAATCGATTCTAGTGTTTTCGATTCAAATCGATTCAGAGATCGATTTTTTTAAGAGTGAATCGACATGCCTACTATTATTTATTCTGTGATCGGGACGTCAAACACCTCATTGAAGATCTTAGCAGTATGCTCAATGACCTTAATAATGCCTCCCAATGGATAAGTCTTAAAATGAACACGGACAAACCAATGACAGAGTTGTTGGGAGTACTAAGCTCGAAGTTGTTGACGAGTACGTTTACCTGGAACAAATAGTTCGACTAGGTAAGTTCAACTTGCACCGAGAGGTCAATCGACGGCTTCAACTCGGCTGGGCAGCGTTCAGGAGATTACGACTCATCTTCTCATCAGGAATACCTCAAAACTTGAAAACAAGATTGTACAACCAGCGCGTGCTGCCAATGATAACTTAGGGATCTGAGACATGGTGCTTCACTGCTGGCTGTATGAGGAAGCTCAAGGTCGCTCAGTGAGCTGTGGAGAGGGTGATAAACTTAGAAATGAGGATATCCGTAGTAGAAAGAGGGTATCCTACATAGCCCAACGGATTAATAAGCTATAGTGGCAATGGGCCAGCCATATGGTTCGAAGAAGCGAAAGCCGATGGGGAAGAAAGATCTCGAGTGGCAGCCTCCTGCCGGTAGACGAAGTGTAGAGTGGCTCCACTGGATGGAGTGACGACTTGGTAAGACATGTGGGAAGTCGATGCATGATGATGATGTAATTAACTTCTCATTTTTATACACCTGGAAATATTAATAGTGTTGTAATATCTGTTACATAGTCCGACCTATAAACCTATCTCAGGTCTACTCGCATGTTCACGAGTAGACCTGAGAGAGGTTTATCCTAATTTAGGTACCTAGATTCAGTCCTCTCTCTTTGGCTTTGTATGAATCCATTGAATATTATTTTAAAATGAATGAATTTCATATTTTTTGATTTTAACCGTGACGGAAACTAAACCCAAGAGATGGGTAACATCTTTCTGATATATAATACAGATAAAGTATAATATGATACAGATAAATAAAAATAAAACATGCGGTTGCCAGCCAGCAGAGCTGTTTTAAGAGGTTAGTTACCTTAGTAGGCATTAATATGTAAAAAGGGACATTCCATCTGGTACGTGTGTCTCTTAGCTCATGTGTGACAACGCATCTGCATTTTATTCTACCTATAAGCCACATCATCCACTTACCATCAGGTAGACTGCGTGCTCGTTTGGTGCCTTATATAAAAACTAGTGGTAAAATAAAAAAATGTGCATCCGACTTTAATATAATTAAAAGTGGTAAAATTAAATATTTTGTGCAACCGTACAAACTTCAATACGACCGAATCAATGTATTCAATGTCATTTAAATTTAAGGATAGTTCAAAAACCACTGGTCAGATCTTGGTCAAATTTATATGGGACCACACGGGAAGCACCAGATTTCAAAAAAAAAAAAAAAAGAATACAGAGAAAAGTTATGAGGTAACACACGTAAAAAAACATACAGTCGAATTGAATAGCTCCTCCTTTTTGAAGTAAGTAAAATGAACTTTCGGTCACGAGTCATTAATTGGACATTTTATCATTAAAACGAGTGCAAATTGCGAGCGAACCTGTGCAAACGGCAAGAAGAAGACCAAACAACAATTAAGCGGCCATACCGAATGAGCGCCCGCATAATATTTAAACGCTTGAAATTAATTCTAAATACGCCGCGCGAATATTAAAAGGGGTGGAACTGTAGGGCAACAACACGAGAAGAGCTCTAGAAATATGTTAACATAATGGAAGAATCCCATTATGCGTTACGCAATTTTCTTTAAATATATTTATTGCATTAGATATTTATGAACGTCTATTTAAGGTGGAGCCTTAGACTTGCATAAAATAGATTAAGGCTGATAAACCAGCACACAGTCCACATGATAAGTAGATGTTATGGCCCATAGATATCTACATCTATCCTCGATTAAGAATCTAAACGCAGATGCTTTATCACCCTTGTGGACTGCGATGTAATGCTTCGTTTCGTTCTCTACCCTCACCATAATAAACTGCAGCATCGAGCTGCTATTTGACGCTGGTGTTCTGTTGGAGCGTGTCGACCAATTCGTGCTATAACTATATAGCTGCAGCATGGCTCTATCACGTAAATCTAATAAAGATATATACTTGTGTAATAATGATTAGAAAGTAAAAGAGAAAGGGAAGTTTAAACAAGGAATACGCTAACATCAATGAAAGCATCCGCGACTTTTTCCGCCACCAGAGCGGCGTCACTTACAAATGAGATGTAATATTTGACAGATTCCATAGCAGTGAAGTTAATTTGTTCGAAAAATGTGAAGCTTAGTGTATCTTTCTGTACTATTTTAAATTTAAATTTAAAAAAGTTATATTTTAAATTAATAAGATTAAAAATAAATAAAGCAAACCAAAGATATTCGTAAGAGTAGAAAAATTAAAAAAGGAGTTAAAGTGTGCGAAGAATTAAGAGGAAACCACTGAAGCATTGTTTTGTGTATTAATATAATACACTAGAAACTGATAAACTTTTATTTAAAACTAGCTTCTCAATTAATTGACATTGTGTAACAAGAAACTTCACATCAGTATCACTTAGCGACATCTAGTGGGCGGAAGATTATTATCCATCATTACAAACATCTGAAATGATATTTCTATACTACGTCATATTTTTTATCGTGCGGGAATCAAACCTGTGGCTCTGAGCGCTGCAGTCAAATGCTTTTTATGTTACCCTGTGCTGCCGAGCTGATAAATTGTGGATATTTTAAGAGCTATCTACCGTATCGTCCCTTGAGTGAGAGGACAAAGGAAACGTACTATGCACCTGTGAAGAAGAAAACATTGTCAGGAATTCCGTATGGTCGAAGAAGAAACTATATTTCCTTCATTATTCTCTCAAGAAAAGGGTGAGCCTCTGCCCAGCAGTCGGTCCGGTTGATGATAATTTCAAATTATTAGATCTAGCGATTTCACGCGGAGGCGTTTTACTTACATAAATTGTACATGAATAAACTTGCGAACTTGGAACAATTATTTGTAGGCTATATTTAATAATTGTTCTGCGCGGGTATTGGCATACGCAACGTCACAGCCATCAAAAAAGATGACCGTTTAAAATGAGTACCCAAAAAAACATACTTAGAATAAAAAAAAAATTATGAAAATATTGGCGAAATGTAAATAAAACACAAAAATATGGCCACCACAAACAGACGATGAAAGTTAGCATTTTTGTGCAATAAAGAAATAAAATTTGCCACATCAGCGTTTCGACGAACACACGCTGGTAGTCACCCTCCGATAAAAATCACGAAAGCGCCCGCCGCCCCGACCCTTACACGCAAAATTGACACTTCATATCTTTTTTATTTGCTCTTTCGCCATTCAGCCTTATCTACCGATGACAGTATTAAAATGGTTATTTGTTTTGTTAAAAATTGGACGTATCTTATATAAATTGTAGGGGCATGAAAGGGGACGCTCCCTTCATATATTTTATGTTTCATTTTAAACATGACAGCTTAACAGCCCTGGAAATACTCATATCATATTGAGCGCGTTGAGATTAACTAATAATGAAGGACTTTGCTGAAATGTTATTTGGTCTTACAAAAGAATACGGTAGATTTTAAAAAAGTGAAGTATATACCAGTTTCACGTGGTAGAGCTATACTGCAGCAATATTGGGTCGGTTCGACCGGGGAAGGGTCGTCTAGACCAGGCAAGATCCACCGCTCTCACAGGATACCAGCTTAAAATAGCAGCTTAACGTTGCTGTGTTTCGTATGGTGAGTGATGAGTGTAGAGAACCGAAGATCCTTCTTACTGCAAAGGAGGCATTCCATCTTAGTCCTCACGGGTCACAACGCATCTTCATTTTGGTTCATAATCGAGGATAGTTGTCTATGGGCAACTGCAACCACTTACCATCAGGGGGACGGTGCGCTCGTTTGTCACCCTATCTTATTAAAAAAAAGGTATAGCCTTATTCATTTGAACTTATTGAGTTAAATAATAACTAATTTAAAACATATTTTATAAATTCAACAAATTAAATTGTAATATGCAAATGATTTATTTTCACATTTCGTGTTCATTTTTAGCTTTCTTTTTTTTCTTCTCGAACTTCTCCACAACCAATTCAAAATCTTTATCATCCTTCAATCTCTTTGCTTCTTTCTTCCCCCAGGTAGTGTAGTCAGTGTACCATTGACGGTATTTCTTATAATCCTTAAAGATGAGAGTGGTGATTTGAATAACAATCAATAGAATTAAAATATTTTAGTATAATATATTTAAAGTGCACCGGTACTTGCGCTTACACTCGGGCACTATAATCCTGTCCTGACCAAAATTCGGTCTATAAGACATTTTTTTTTCGCAAAGGAATGCCTGATTCTTTTTATTTTCACTAAGATATTTCATCTTGTAATAATGCTAATGCATCGATTGATATCTGTTCTTTAGTATTTAAGCATGCTATGTTATATAATAAAGTTAAATAATCAATTAAATAACGTACAGCTGTTTCCTCGCTTCCGTCACGAGTGATGTAGTCGACCAGCTCTTGGGGTGACAAACCATACGCAGCGATCCTTATTAAATATTTGGATTTCATTAGTTACGGTCAAAATTATAACGTTTTGTGATTTTCATATGTGAACAACAAAAATTGAAGTATCTTTTTTAGTGGTTTTAATAAAGTTGAAGCAAAAAGTAAATTTAAAGTGAAAAAGTTAAAGTCAAAAAGCTGTTTATATGGATAAATCGTACATTATTGATCCATATTGCTTCAATCAAATGAATGTTAATTTTCAAATTGTAAAGCTTTTTTTAAGTGGACTTAGAATTGCCACAAATTAATATAGTAACTAGAATGGCGAGTAAATAGTTGAATTAAGAATTTTAAATTTTCGTACTTAAATTTATATACGAGGGCGGCACTGAAAATTTCGGGAATCAAGGAAGTGACACAATATTACTATTTAAAAATGTATTTATTGCTTTTCGAAGTATTCTCCACGAAATTTGACACATTTTTCCATACGATGGAATCAATCATTGAAGCAACAATTCCATTCGGAAGTTGAGGTCTCCAAAATGGCCGTTTTGTAGGCGTCCACAGCTTCTTCAGGTGATGAAAATCTCTGTCCACGCAATTTATTCTTTATTTTAGGGAAAGTATAGAAATCATTAGGGCTTAGGTCGGGGCTGTACGGCGGATGTTCTAATAATTCTATGTTTTCTTGCTCTAAAAACTCTTTTGTTCTGTGTGCGGTGTGAAAACTCGCATTGTTTTTTTTTTTGTTTTTGGGGGGTTGTGGTTTTTTTGTTTTTGACTGCAGTTAATGGGCGACCCTGACGGGGATCATCACTGAGCTTGACACGTCCACGTTGAAATTCAGCAAACCAGCGATAAATTGTGGTTTTGGATGGGGCTTCATCACCAAATGCAGAAATCATCCGGTCAACACACTGTTTTTGTGTTGAACCACATCGAAAGTCATAATAAATCATCGCTCTTGAATTTTCTCGAGTCAATTCCATTTTCTCAACGGCTAAACAAGTTTGACAAAACCTTGTGACAAGACCGAGAAACTTTTTTTTAATAAATATATGGTATTCGATTTTTAAAACCAAGGAGTTTTCAATTAAAAAGATTTTAATATGGCAGGAACAGTGGAAATATTCCATTCCCGATACTTTTAGTGCAGCCTAGGTAGGACATATGAAGAATACTAATTACTAAAAAAATCATTACCATTATTAAAATTAATAGACAATTCAATGAGATATCGCTTAACATGTATATAAAAAAAACAAAGAAACACACATCGAATTGCGCCCCCCCCATTTTTGAAGTGGGTTATATATTATTAAAATAATCACTAACTTTACTATATTTTCCGGTGTTAAAAAGCTGTTAAGTGCTTCTTTGAGATATCCAAACGAGTATCCTTGAAGAACTTGCGCGACACTTTGTAAGTTCAAATTACGGGGTACAATTCGATTGCTGTAAAGTTAAAATAGTTTTGGATGTCTCATTTTTCACTCTCTTCATTTAGCTATAAACAGTCATCTAAATATTTACAAAATACAGCGAGACAATACAGATTTATAGGATTTATATATTTGGGATATAAACAGTAAGTTGGCAAACTTTATTAATACTATCTTGCGTACCATAGAATACTATAATACATACATAATAGAACTGGGGAGTGGGCGGAGCCCGTGTAACCACTAACATGTCAATTCACACCTATAAATGTCAACATAATCAATCTTTTTCAATTTTCGTGTCAAGCGTCGCTGCATGCAAATTATTAAAAAAAAATGGCAAATTGTGCAATAATTACGTGTCGAAATAATAGCGGGAAATAAAATTTAAATAAAGGAGACATATCCTACAACCAATAAGTCGAAGCTATTTATATTTTGTGAATATTAGAAACAAAAATAACGAAATATTGAAGTGTCAAAAACATTAATCAAAAATAATCTGTCAACACAGCGAATCGGGTTTGTAGTAGTGTAGTGATAATACGACATAATTGCTTGTATGTGTGCTCCCGGCGACGCCGTTCCTCGAACAAAATAAGATTGACAGCCATTCTATTGTTTATTATAGTATTCTATGATGCGTACAATAGAGAAGTGAAATAATTTGCCAGTGTTTGTCTTTCCATCCGCTTAAAATACGCGTTTCAGTCACATCACCATACACCATCAGGTGGCCAAGCACTGTCTTGTGATAGTTAAAACTATTTTGATTAAGTAACATGTACTTACTAGATTAGGTTTTTATCGTTTTTTTTTTCAGTTTTATAAACTTATAAGTCAAAGGTAATTTCGTAGCCTATCGGCATATCACATTCTTATAGTGTTAAATTTATTTTTAGCATTTTTATCTATTAGTTGTTATAAGAATATAAAAGTAAAGTAACAGCCTAAATACTTACCAATGCTAAGCATAGACCTTTTAATACTGAGAGGGTTTCCGAACAACTATGAAGAAGCAAAGAGTTTATAATAATGACCTTACTAGGTTACTACCTATACCAGAAAACCCCGAGGCTGAAAATGTTTCCCACTGGACACATTTTCAGCCTCGGGGTTTATCTGGCTAGCTACCTACCAGCCTCTTATCTATTTCTCTTGCCAAGCAGCAGTACCAGCATGTGCTACGTTCCGGTCTGAAGAGTATAGAGAGCCATTATTATGTTTGCAGTGTAATATCACAGCTGTGAGGCATTTACAGAGTACTTTTTAATATAGTGAAACAGACATTCCAACTTAGTCTTCCAATGTCAGCTATACAGCCCATTTGTCTAGCCTCGCCGTTGCTCGTCGTCGCTCGCCTAGCTGACAGAGTGCAGGCGAGTGCCAACGTGTATATACCATTAGTTTGGCGTGCCTTGCCACCACTCGGGATCGCTCGCCACGACTCGTCTCATTTCTCTCTCTCTCGGAACAGTGTCGGTTTTTCTGCACAAATCAAAGGCGCTCACCTGCACTCGGCAATTCGTGTACACGTGTTAGTTGGCGATTCAGTATTTTCACTCGTCCAAACTTGGCCAACATGTATTGCAGGCTTATGGTGATAACGCATTCTGTAGCCTTTTTTGTTTGAAATTAGTTGAACGTTTCCTCGGGCACAGTATAATAAAGATATAGACTGTACCTTGGGCGCCAGTATTCAACTTGTTTTTTATAGTACTTACTTTACCATCAGGTGCACTGGAAGTTTGTATGTCATTTCTAGTTTATTAAAAAAATAACATTTAAACTTTAGCCGCGTATAGAAATCTATAATAAAAAAATCTCTGTCAGGAATATTACTCAGTCATCCAATTCCTTAATATCAACGAAACCGTGGAGTATGTAGCTTCAGGTAACATTATCACTTCGGGAAATATCTTAAGTAATTGACCCGATTTTGTCAACCAAGGATCGCGGCAACTTCCTGGAAATAATAATGAATTAATTTTTATTTTAGGTAATAGATTATTTTATGTAATAGAACCATGCCATATCTGTATTATGATTAAAGTTATACGTGGTAGAGCCATGCTGCAACTATATTATGGTGGTAGCCCGAATGGGTCGGTTTGACCGGGGAAGGACCACGCTCTCACAGAATACCAGCGTGAAATAGCAGCTTAATGCTACTGTGATTCATATGGTGAGTGTAGAGAACCAGAGACGTTTTTAACTGGAAACGAGGCATTCCATCTTCAACCTCAGGAGCGACAACGTATCTGCATTTTTATTATTAATCGTAGACAAATGTAGAGAGACTATTTCACAAAGAGATCATTTTATGGAATTGGCTTCAAGTGTGTTCGTGAGTCTTTTGTTACAGATTTTTTTTAAAGAAACGGGTGACAAACGAGCGTACAGTCCACTTGATGGTAAGTGGTTGCTGCGGCCCATAGACATCTACATCTATCGTCGATTACAAATCAAAATGCAGATGCGTTGTCACCCGTGAGGACTAAGATGGAATGCCTCGTTTCCAGTAAAAAGGATCTCCGGTTCCCTACTACAGGAACAAGAGGAGTACTACACTCACCACACGAAACACAGCAACATTAATCTTCTATTTCACGCTGGTATTCTGTGAGAGCGTGGTCCTTCCCCGGTCGAGCCGACCCATTCGTGCTACAACTACTCTACTAATACAACTGCATCATGTTCATGGCTCTACCACGTATAGATATTTTCATACAGGTTGTTTAACGTAAATGTTTCAAATTCTATACAGTTTTGAAAAGTGCCTTTTTTTATAGGATAGGGTGACAAACGAGCACACAGTCCACCTGATGGTAAGTGGTTGCTGTGGCCCATAGACATCTACATCTATCCTCGATTACGAATCAAAATGCAGATGCGTTGTCACCCGTGAGGACTAAGATGGAATGCCTCGTTTCCAGTAAAAAGGGTCTCTACTTCTCTAACACTCACCATACGAAATACAGCAGCATTAAGCTACTGTTTCACGCTGGCTTTCTGTGAGAGCGTGGTCCTTCCCCGGTCGAGCCGACCCATTCGTGCTACAACTATACTACTAATATAACTGCAGCATGGCTCTACCACGTAAAATACAGACGTAACATAAAAAAAAAGATATAAATACTCGTTTTTGATTTTCGAAATTAATTTTAGGGAGTAAAAGAGGAAGGAAAAAGTTTTCGATCTGTGACCTATTTGAGACGCCTGTTTCTTGTCTTTTTAAAATACAATTTCTATAATGTATAATAATAATTTTGTGCTTAATTATATTACACATATATATCCGAAAGAAATGCTTTAAAATAACTTTCCCCTATTGTGCGGCCGGCAATGCACCCGGAATTCCTCTGGTTTTGTAGTTGTTCACTTAGGACGGAGTACTTTGTGGCAATTCTTAGCTGAGACCTGTGTTCAGCAGTGGACTTTTGTTGGGATGTAGTAGCAGTAATTGTAGTATTAGTATAGTTGTTAGTATAGTATAGTTGTCAGTATAGTATAGTTGTTAGTATAGTGGCTGTTATTAGTGGCGGTAGTAAAATAAGGTGAGCAGCATGCTAGTTTGACACCTCTTCAATAAAAAACGTAATTCCTGTAATTTTATATTTATTTCAAAATAAATTGAAATAATACTAGTTTTTACGGAATTTATCGCGTATATTTAACTTTTTAAATACCCGACGTTTCGAACGCTTTACAGCACTCATGGTCACGGGCGGGACTGAGATGTTCAACGTCCATATGTCATAGTTAACCGCGGTTACCATAGATTAAAATTTAACTTTTGTTCCGATCTATGCAGTATGAACTTATGGTATCTTGAAGTCTTGCAGTTGTATGCTTGGGTTGGGATTTAATTTTATTTATTATAGGATCCCAAGCAGATGGTAGCACCCAGCCATCTTCTCTATTGAAATTAGGATGTTTTTTGATTTCAATAGCCTCGCGAATCATCCTTGGAAGGAATCGGTGTTCTTTAGCGAGGATTTGCGGTCTATCAAATCTGATGTAGTGACGGGGGCGATCCTGTACGTGTTCACAGACTGCAGACTTTATAGACGGAGCGTCGATTCTTCACGCTCCGGGAATAAATTTTAATCTATGGTAACCGCGGTTAACTATGACATATGGACGTTGAACATCTCAGTCCCGCCCGTGACCATGAGTGCTGTAAAGCGTTCGAAACGTCGGGTATTTAAAAAGTTAAATATACGCGATAAATTCCGTAAAAACTAGTATTATTTTAATGTGTAGTGTTCGCGTAAATATAAGAAATCAAAATAAATTTCTTATCTATGTTGTTTTTTATTTTTTATGTTGTATTTTTATCTTGATTTTTAATACTAACCCTTTTACAATAAAGTTGATGAAGAGCCTTGATATGAATAACGGAGGGCTGAACAGCTCTTGCGCATGTGATCACCGAGCTTACTAATTGCCGCAAATATGCAGGTGATAACAAATCTTGCGAGACGTTCGATGGATCCAATTCAAACAGCATGGCATCTTAAAATATAACATAAGTGTTAATACATGATATTATATTAGGTGGTAGAGCCACGCTGCAGTTTTACTATAGCAGAAACACGAATACGTTAATTTACTTTGTGAATGTCCACTCTCTGACAGAATACGAGCGTATAATAGCAGTATTATACTGCTGCGTGTCCTATGGTAACGAGGCATTTCATATTACTCCTGAAATTTTCTGTTACAGTCCGCGAGATATCTATTTTCTCCTTTTTTTGAATACATACAAATTGAGTCTTCTTTTGTCTTCTCAATTTTGTTTAGTTTCTAACATTAGATAAGTATTAACTTACAATTAATGAAAAATTCGGATGTTGTAGTAATTTGTCCACAATAGTTTTTTTGCCTATTGAAAAAATTCGCTTTCATACACTTGGGAGGTATTGGCACTTCATCGACGATATGTCTTAATGCTGAGGATATGCGTTCGTTCTAAGAAAGTTTTAAGATATGGATGGCCTATTTAGTCAA